TATAATCGGTAACTTTGGTATTTTGCTTGAAGAAATATTATTCTTTCTCGATCTCTTTGAAGACTTCTCCGAAATGTTCACTTTTGGTAAACGAACAGTCGTCCCAATTTAAAGGAATTTTGATAAAAAATATTCGATATTTTTGAAAGTTTGAATGAATTACTGAATCTATGCAAAAACAATAGAATTTACCTACATTTTCTATTCCCTTAGAAGTTTTTGATAACCATGAAAAATTCTACAAATACAAATAAAAAATTTAAAAAAATTAAAAATAAAAATAAAAATACTAAAAAATAGCAAAAACAACAGAATAAATGACAAAAACAAGTTTGGTTTGGTTTGGTTTAAGGCATATCAAGCTCAATGGGTTATTTAATACAGACAAGATCATTATTGCTGCTAATGATTTTTTTTCCAAATTTATTGCTGGTAACAATTTTGTTTCGAAAATGTATTGGTGGCAATATCTTTTTTCTTCAAAAATGTATTGCTGGTAATATTTTTTTAAATGTATTACTAGTAATATTTTATTTTTCAAAAATGTATTGCTGGTAGTAAAACCTATTTTTACACTTTCATAATGTTTCGACCCCAGTTTTTGGGAAAAAACAAGAATCATAATGCTAATAATATATATATATATATATATATATATATATGAATGAAGAAAAATACTCTTAAGATGTACTATATTTATGGGATAAAGTGCTCAATATCAGAGATAGAGCGTGTGTAGATATAAAATTGAACACAGAAGTCAACACATACAGGCGACAGGTTGTTTCATTCTAGACGCAATCGTCAGGCCATGCAATATATATATATATATATTATGTTATAAGAATTAATATATATATAGCATTAATATATATATATATATATATATATATATATATATATATATATGTGTGTGTGTGTGTGTGTGTTATTAGCATGGAAAAATTCTACAAATACAAATAAAAAATTCTAAAAAAAAATGAGAAAATACTAAAAAAATAGCAAAAACAAAAGAATAAATGAAAGAAAGCAAGTTTGGTTTGTTTTTTTTACGGCATATCAACCTCATATATATATATATATATGTGTGTGTGTGTGTGTGTGTGTGTGTGTGTGTATAAAACAAAAAGAAAACGAGTGCTAAAATTAAATTTAAACGGGACAAAGTTCCAAATCGCTATTGAAAGGCTTGTTTTAACTATGGACTCTATATAAAACAATGGCTCTTCTGAAGGAAACTTTTTGCCTTTTCATCCACGGTTCAAGATGCTCCTTCATAAATGCTATGTATACATCAGCAGTCATTTTGACGCCATCTGGTACTCTCCATGGGCCCACGAATGTGCTTCCAATAATAACACCCCAGATCATTATGCCTCCACCTCCCTGTTGGCGTCTCAAACACTGATGGCGATTCTGTCCGTTCATTACCCAGCCTTTGCACCATCTATCTGGCCCATCAAGTGTTGCTCAAGTTTCGTCTGTGAACAAAACTTTAGAGAAGTCAATCTTCATATTGTCCTCGGCCCATTTCAATTGATTTTGAATGTGATTTATCGTCAACAGAGGCTTCGATACAGGTTTGACTGTTGTTGCTATTTCCCTCAGATACAGACTTTTAGACATAGTAGGATCCCCAATGCGACTGAAAAGCTCTTGACTGGTAAGTCCAGGGTTATTCGTGGCCTCTCGTTTAAGTCGTGACATGAGACGACGGGAAATAACCATCGGCTTGCCTTTATATGCCCTTTTGCATACTTTCTTAGGGTCGGCGGTGAAGTTTTCACTGCTTGATGACACATCCCTATCACTTTAAAAATGTCTAGGGTAGATTTACTTTTTGAGAGTTCTGAGGTAATAGTTTTCTTTTCAGCATCACTTAAACTGCTTTTCACTAAATTCTTATACTTTTTTAATCATTTGGCACGCTCAAATCACCATGCTGATAACAAGTATGACGCCAGTTCGTTTACCTTGCGAAGATCAGTACGAAAATTTCAGTGATTGCGCAAGTCAGTGTTTCCAACAGTGTGTGAAAATTTTGTGTGAATTGATTGGACGGTTTTTGAAATATTAGAAAAAAAGTTATCTCGATAATAATTTGGCACGCAGTGGATATATATATATATATATATATATATATATATATATATATATATATATATATATATATATATATATACTTAGTTGTATTGATGTGAGTTTGTAATTTATATATATATATATATATATATATATATATATATATATATATATATACAGGATAATATTATAGTTTTAAGTTATACTATATTTATGGGTTCAATATCAGTAATATAGCATATGTAAATATAAAAATGGACATTAAACTCTGTCTTATTTCATGTATGAGTGGTCAGCCAGGAGTCCTCATTTAACACCCTTTGACCTTTTTCTTTGGGGTGGGTTAAAAGAATAAATCTACTATACGAAACCAAGGCTTTGGAAGAACTTGAATGGTTAATACAAGAAGTTATGTCTTCCGTACCACAAGAGTTCCTTGTGAAATTAGTTGACGCCATTGCTGGTTATATGGATCACATTACTTTTTCTCATCTGGTCACGTACGACATCATAGAACCGCATTACGAATTTACGACCTGCATCTGCTATTCGACGACCATTATTGTTGAATAGCAAACTTCTATATCAACATAACAGGATGCTATCTTTGATGGTGAACATCTCTGTTGTAATGTCCATATAAGCAAAGCTTAGATTAATGAACAGCATAATAAAAAAATATTCAAATGTTTGAATGGCTCATGATTAACATAATAGACATTCGCTGTCTGTTATATTTAACAATATATGCTTGAATAATGAACTGTTGTCACAATATAATATATATATATATATATATATATATATATATATAGTAATTTTCAAGCATTGCTTAGATGTGGCATAACTCTTCACTGGGTGTCCCTAGTTTCTGGTGAAAAAATCACTATATATATATATATATATATATATATATATATATATATATATATATATATATATAATTGGAGTTTATACGTAATTTATATAGACACATATTTAAGTAAATGCTCTGTTTATAATAAACAGTATTAACAACATTTACCAGCCTAAATTTTCGAGAAATTTTATAGAAAATGTGCGTCTTTCAACATATTTTCTATGAAATTTAGAGGCCGTCACCAACTGTAGTATATATATATATATATATATATATATATATATATATATATATATATATATATATATATGTATGTATGCAAAACAAAACACAATCGTAGTTGGTAAGCTCCAAGTATAATAAATTTGGCAATTAAAAGTGCTCAATACAACGTAGAGCCTATAAAACGTAAGATAAATTCAGATTAAAAAAATGTACCCGCTGGAAACTCAAGGTTTCACCCTTGTAAATTAAAGATCGTCAGGACTGGTACGTTCTTTATTATGCGTCGTTCGTGGTTTATACATTAATTATGGAGAACTTTATTGTTTTGGGCTGTTTGTTTTTGTTGGCCCAGGTGTAAGTGTCATATTATCTAATAAATACACACACACACACACACACACACACACACACACACACACACACATATATATATATATATGAAGAAATATAGTTTTATGGTGTGCTATATTTATGGTATAAAGTGCTCAATATCAGAGATAGAGCGTATGTAAATATAAATATAGGCTGTTTCATACTGGGCGCAATCGTCAGGCCGCTGATTGAGTCCAGCATGAAACAGTCTGTCGCCTCTGAGTGTTGACTTCAAAAATTCACTTATATATATATATATAAATGAGACAAAGAACAGATGGAGTAAAATCCATTGTTCGTAGCATTTACTTTTTTAAAATTTGCTCAATACAAAGTAGAGCAATATGTTATTGTTATATTTTTATTATAAGAGATTATAATAAAAACATTTTGAAATCGTTACAAAAAAGCTTTTATGTTTCAATACCTTGATTGTAGTTCTTCAGGCGATCGTAAGCAACTGGCGATTCACCTGAAAAAGTACAATTATAGCATTGGTTTTGTGTAACAATTTCAAAATTTTTTTATTATAATCTATCTATCTATCTATCTATCTATCTATCTATCTATATATATATATATATATATATATATATATATATATATATATCAAATGTAACAACCATTGTGGGATAAAGGTCGGAATTTATTTTTATTTATTTTATTTTGTTTTGTCATTTATTTTTTATGTTGCTTTTAATGTTAAGCTATCATATTTCTTTTATTCTATTTTATTTTTATACGTAATTGCATTTTCTTTTTGTTTATTTGTCTTTCTTTCTTTAATGAATATTTTTTCGTTGTCTTCTTCATCTCTCTCTCTCTCTCGCGTTATGCAGGATGTAAGTTCCCTCCATTTTCTCGCCCAGTAATGTGTATTGCCATTTTCAGAACGAGTTGGCACCATGTTTTTTTCTGCTTTTTTTTCTTTTTTTTTTCTAATTTGAGGATTTCAATGGGGAACAAGAATGAGACACGTTTACTGGAAGTCGTTTGGGATGCAATGTCTCGTTTTCGGCGCTCCTCGCCTCATTCGTTACCCTGCACTTTCGTGTGAAACTACACACTCGATCCCTTTACCTTTACCACGTCACGCCGTAAGGGTCGTAGGGAGGGAATTTATATGTACGGCAGCCATATCACCATTCGTATGTCTAGGGGTCCACCTTTTTGTTGCTTTTGAATCTAGTCTTTTCCTTTTCTTAAATTGGTTGCCACCTCAAAGCATGTGCCCTGCTGCGTAGGAAAAAGATGGATTTATACCAAGTCTATTCGGTAGGAAAGTAACGAACTCTGCCGAGATTCGAACTCGGCTCGCCGATTTCTGGTAACAGTCGCTAACAGTTAGACTAACCCTCAATTTTCACTATGCTTTTTTCTTCAAAGGGTCCATTTATTTATTTGTTTAGGAACAATGGTAAAATCCAAAATATTAACCAAGGAATACGCGGACGCGCGATGTTTAGCATAAATTGTAAGGACACACAGACATGCACGCATCAGTGTTGCACAGTGAAAGAAAGAAAGAAAGAAAGAAACAAAATAAAAAACGAAAGAAAAGGAAAGAAAGAAAAGAAAAAAGAGACAAAAAAGAAACAAATAAAACAAAAGAAAAGGAAAGAAAGAAAAAGAGACAAAGAAAGAAACAAATAAAACAAAAGAAAAGGAAAGAAAGAAAGAAAAAGAAAGAAAGAGAGAAAGAAAGAAAAAGAGAGAAAGAAAGAAAAAGATATAAAGCAAAAGAAGCGGGAAAGAGACAAAATGAAAGAAAAATTAAGAGCGAAATAAAAAAAGAAAAAGAAAAAAAGGAGAAAGAAAAAGTAAAAGAGAGAAAGCAAAAGAGAGAATGAAGAAAATAATAAAAAGAAAGAGAGAGAGAGAGAGAGAGAAAAGAAAGTATAAAAAGAAAGAGAGAAAGAAAAAGGATACAAAGAAAAAGAAAGCGAGAAAGAAAGAAACAAAAAGAAAGAAAAATAAAGAAATAAGAAAAAAGAAAGGGAGAAATAAAGAAAGAAAGAAAAAGAGAGAAAGTGAGAAATAAAGAAAAAGAGAGAGAGAGAAAGAAAAGGAAAGAAAAAGAACGAAAAAAATAAAAAGAAAGAGAGAGAAAGAAAAATAAAGAGAGACAGAAAGAAAACAGAGAAAGTGAGAAAGAAAGACAAAGAAAGAAAATATAGAAAGAAAAAGAATCGTGAAAGAAAGAAACAAAAAGAAATAAAAATAAAGAGAGAAAGAAAGAAGAGAAAAATAGAAAGAGAGAAAGAACGAACGAAAAAGAGAGAAAGAAAGAAAAATAAGGAAAGAAGAAGAAAGAGAGAAAGTAAGAAGAGAGAGAGAGAGAGAGAGAGAGAGAGAGAGAGAGAGAGAGAGAGAGAACGAAAAAGATAAAAAGAAAAATAAAGAAAGAAAAAAGGATAGAGAAGTATGAAAGGAAGAGAGAAAGAATAAGAAAGAAAGCAAAAAAATGAAAGAAAGAAAAAGAAAAAAAAATGAAAGAAAGAGAAAAAGAAAAAAAATGAACTCCAAAAATGCTGACGGGTAGGATTGGCATTTCTTTATTCATATAAAGAAATAGACGCCTCATCGCCTTGTAATGGTTAGCAACCGTGTTTTGTTAATCATTACTAGTGACGCCAACCCTCACTGGGTGGACCACGTTTGTGTTCTTGTACCAAAACTAAGCAACGCTTAATCAATGGCAAATATTAAAGATATAAGCTTATAATTGTAGGAGACTGACATATTTGCTACGGTTTTTCTTTTCTTTTTTTCTGTTTTTCAATCTATCTATCTATCTATCTATCTATCTATCTATCTATCTATCTATCTATCTATCTTATTTTTGAATCACTTCACCACAAGCAAAGCAATAAAGCCACTAAGACGCAAAGGGGTTACTGAGTGTTAGAGAGCATGAGAAAAATTACTATAAATGAGACGGAGCAATAAAAGAATACGAATTAAAAAGACAGAAGATAACGATTGACATTGCATTTAAATTTTTGAAGGTCAAAGTTGACTAGGTATTAAGAAACCGGAAGACAGTTCCACAAGCGAGAGGTGCGGAAGAAGAAACTGTTAGCATAGAACTTACGGTTACATTTAATCATTTCAAGTGTAAAATGATGAGACCTATCTGCCAATCTAGTACTGCTCTTAAATTCATAAAGTCTAGATACCGACGCGGAGAGTCCATCAGAGCAATTACCATGAAAGTATTTATATCTATCTATCTATTTATCTATCTATCTATCTATCTCAACAAATATGATTATCTGTTTATATTTCTGAGATGAGATATTATGTATAATATTTACATTATTCGGACTATCATCCTCATCTTTGTTGCCATATTTAACCCAACGTTTCGGCCGTTGTACGCTCCGGCCTTCTTCAGGTGGTTGGAATGTCAAAATGAACCCTTTATTTCACTCGCTGAGGTAGAGAATTTGGTGAGGGTATTTAACAGGAGATAACTGATAACTGACATCCATTAGACATGGCACGTGGAACTAGATCAGTCTACCCCAACGAGCGAAATAAAGGGTTCAGTTCGACGTTCCAACCACCTGAAGAAGGCCGGAGCGTACAACGACTGAAACGTTGTGATAAATATGGCAATAAAGATGAGGATGATAGTCCGAACAATGTAAGTAGTGTAAATATGATTAAATGTTCATCTTATCTGTCCGAACTCGTAGTTTTTGTATATATGCCTCTCAAAAAAACAGAGTATAGCAGGAGGTCTTTTGTAAGAAAATGTGTATTATTCAACTATATTTATAAGAGATATATATTGTTCTATTTTTGATAAACTATTCTTAATAAAACATATTGCTAATAAATTTAAAGGTTTTATTATGCAAACTCTGTCAAAGAAATTTTATCTAAATCCAAAAAAGAAAGATAAGGACCCAAAACAATATATTTGCTGAACACACTATCGCATAAAGCTTAATTAAAAATTATTTTACGTATCATTATGGACGGCTTGACCTTCTATAACCTTCTTCAGCAGTCTTCCACCTTTGATTTATTTAACGTTTCTGCTTCTTTGTCTATAACAAAACTTGTGGCATTTTTTTATTTTATCCTAGAGATATTTTTCTTTAATATTGTTTTCCATTCTCATATACATCTATTGTAAGATGGAACTCAACTTTTCTGTTGGATTATTATCTGGGGAGGCTGGATGCTATTCCAATAATTCGGCGTCTTTGAGGCATTTTTTGTCAAGAAAGAATTTTGAGGACTGTTAGTTTCTTATCTCAACATGATCTTCAGACCAATGTAATCACACACATACAGCTTATAATTATTAAAAACAAGGATCATAACATTCATCGAGTGGTTCGTAGGTTAATGAAACTTTAAAATTTTGTTTGCGAAGAGATTTCGCCATTTTATATCATTAACTTTACTAATCTACTTTTTGTATATAAATTGAACTGCACCACATATTTGATGTGAAAGAACTGACACGACGTGCAAATTTTCGGGATAACAACTGAGACATTACTCTATTTATTGAACAATTTAGTTCATGCCACATTGACTGATAAACTCCTACAACAAAAAATTCTCAAATTGCCATATTAGTACAAAACGCACCCTCTTAAGTTTTCAAAAAAAAAAAAAAAATCAACCTTAGAGTTGTGACTGCACGCTCCAAAAGTATCCGTTAACAATAACACATTTAAAAAAAATATATATATATTTCGATTCGCATTTAATTTTTTCGTCTCGGATGCTACCTGGATTTTACTAAAAACAAAATAATTTTCATGCCTGAGGATGACTGAATGTACAGTTGAAAGTACTTGCAGATTAAAAAAAGACCTTATACAGCTTATAATTATTAAAAACAAGGATCATAACATTTATAGAGTGATTTATAGGTTAATTCAACTTTAAAATTTTGTTTACGAAAAGATTTCGCCATTTTATATTAACTTTACTCATCTACTTATTGGATGAATGGTTTATTGTAATAATATATATATATATATATATATATATATATATATATATATATATATATAGCATCCACAGAGAGACTGTTTGACTGTATCACAGCTCATCAGTGAGGTTAGACATCGGCGCGCGGCAGAGAAAGGCAATTTTTAACGCATTGTATACGTGATATATAAACGTCATACTGGTTGTTGTAGCGCTCATTTCTTACGATGAGCGATATATATATATATATATATATATATATATATATATATATATATAGTAAAAAAAGAAAAGACAGTAAGATATATAAACCGGTGTTCTTATTGATATTTTTATTTTTACAAAACAGTGCTCAATGTAAATTTACTGAGCATAAATATTATAAATTAACTGATTTAAAAGTATGCTACCTTCGCTACACAGGAATTATCATATTTCAAAAATCGAAGCTAAAAACTTAAAAGCATTAGTTCTGTTTCATCTTCAAGCGAATTTTGGAAATAATTTTTTTAAATTATAAAGAAACTTTATCTCTATCTATAAAAGGCAGGATGTGTGCATCTGTGTAACGAATGCACGGCCGGGTTTTATTTTTCTTGATTTTTGACAGATTTGTACCAAAATTTACATGCACATGCTCCAAGTTGGCAGGAAAGCCAAGACCGACTTTGCATTTCCCAACACCCATCGATAGTGGAAATAATCGATTTTTTTCATGCTACTACGGCAGTTTTCATGTAGTTTGCGGCCGTTTTGTACTGGCCAGAGTGAGAGCCTATAGCTGGCTGCCACGAATAGGCAGGAAGATTCTATTGGCCAGCGTGAGAGCCAACAGCTGACTGACACGAATGTTAACTATCATGCTAGCATGCAAAAAAAATTGTTAGCTGCATTCGTCACAAGTGAAAAAGAAAATCTGCATGGCTCTTTACTCCAATTGGCTCATTCGCTTGCTTAAACTCAGCGTTGATTCTGATTCCGCAGAACTGGGTTGGGTGTGAAAAAGTATTTGTTGTTAACATTCTTTTTTCATTCGGTTTTTCCAGTTACGAGTCCTTTTTTTAAAGCTGATCGTTTTGTCTTCATTTTGTTTTGTTCTTTTTTCGTAACAGATTTAATGTTTAGTATAGAGCTTAGAAGAAATTGGCAGTGTGAGATAGGCAAGAAGTAAGGCACGTAGCAACATCAGCACGGCAAAGGGAACTCCTTTAAAGGCAAGGAAGGTCAAAAATATTTTAAGTCAAGTGATAGCGATTGCTGTATGAGTCGTACGATTTTTGAATCAAGCACGGGCAACGCCGGGCCAGGCTGCTAGTGGATATATATATATATATATATATATATATATATATATATATATATATATATAAGTAATTATACTCGTCTGGAAAAACCTTAGGTGTTTTGTCTTGTAAATGAACAAACCAATACCCAAGGAAAAAATAAGGGACATATATATATATATATATATATATATATATATATATATATATATATATCTTTATAAAGTCTCTTTATAATTTAAAAAAAATTATTACAAAAGTAAATGAACAGACAAATACGTCGAAATTGTTACAAAATGAGTAGATAATGAATTTTTTTTAACTAATTTAATGCACCTCTATATGTGCACCATTATTTGCATGAAAGACATCGAGGGTACTCTATTTCTTGCCATGTTTGTTATAGAATAGCCTCATTAATGGTGGCAATGGCATCAGTGGTTTTTTGCTTTAGATCAATGAAGTCCCGGATCTTTGTTTGTTACACGATATCTTTAACATAGCCCCGAAGAAAAAAAAGTCCAGGGGAGTCATATCTGATGACGAGGTGGCCAGCGAATTAGGCCATCCCTTCCAATCCATCGGTCTGGAAATGTTAGGGGTTAATTTAACAGTACCCTTTTCATCAACAGAATACCCAAGATACACACACCTAATGTGACTAAAAACTTTGATAACTACTGAGTACATAGAACAAATCTGATTAAGATATCTTATTAATTGTCCTTTGTAATATATTTTTTAAACTGTTAAGAGACTGCAGATTATAGAAACAAAAGAAGCAATTGGTATAAAGATGTAAAGTGAATCATGCATATGTGTGGGTATATTAACTGTATACAGAGATAAATATATTTCTTTAAGAGGCTGCTTTTTAACGATCATAAACTCTCTTGTAAATATAATGGAATGGCATCCTGATCTTAAGCAGCCCATGCTCACTGCAGTCAGTCTACTTGTGTACTTGTAGACACTAGAAGACCTAAAGAAAAACGTGAATACCATCATACATATATGTGTGATCAAGTAAAGGAACGAAATACCAGAATGTCTCTTTCCTTTCTCCACTATCTCTGTATCTCAAGTTACACCCCCATATATATATATATATATATATATATATATATATATATATATATATATATATGATAAATGATTGATATGAAATATCCCAACAAATATGTAAGATGTAAGTTTTTCATTCGACTGATTTTCATGTATTCCATTATATATATATATATATATATATATATATATATATATATATATATATAATACGTGTAGGTAGCAAGCAAGAATTCACCAAGACATGTTTTATTAAATTTGATTGACAAGGATCATCTGTTCAGTTTTACCGTGAATTCTTCTTGTTGGTGTATCAGCTGGCATACACCTCAACCCAAGTTATGAAGACAGAATCCAAAGTCAATGGGAATTTTGATTCTATTACTTTCGACCATAAAGAATGATTAAACTATCTGCCGACAATTTAGCACCCAGAAAAGAACATGGACATTTAAAATTAAATAATACTTTAAAAAATTCAATAATAATTAAAAAATTAAATAGTTTAAAAATAATTTAAAAATAATACTTTAAAAAATTGATAATAAAAAAATTAAATAGTTTAAAAATAATACTTAAAAATTACTACTACTTAAAATTCAATAATACTTAAAACATTATATAATAGTTTAAAAATAAATAATACTTACCAAAATTTTATAATACTTAAAAATTCAATAATACTTAAAAAAAACTCAATAACACTTAAAAAATTCAATAATACTTAAGAAATTAAATAATAGTTTAAAAAATAATACGTAAAAAATTAAATAACACTTAAAAAATTCAATAATACTTAAAAAATTAAATAGTAGTTTAAAAAATAAATAATACTTAAAGAATGAAATAATACTTAAAAAATTCAACAATACTTAAAAAATTAAATAATACTTAAAAAAATAACAAGTTTAGTTAAAGATTGACGAATGTTCCTTAAGTATTTTTCTATATTTCCGGTCAGAATTTTTAAAATCATTTCCTCCCGAGGAAGACGATAATGTCACTAGAACGCAAGTAGTTACTGAGAGTGAAAGGGAATGAGAAGATTTTAGTGAAAGGACAATAAAAGAAAAGGTTCCAGGACGATAGAAGATGACGATTGGCGTTGCATTTACATTATTGAAGATTGTCGTTGGCAGGGAAGCAAGAAGTCGGAAAGGAGTTCAACAGATGAGAAAAGATGCTATGAAATTAGACCTTAAGGTCACATCTCTCTATTTTAACAGTAAAACGATGAGACTTAATATCTAATGCTACTTTCGTTCTTGCTACATATTTAAATATAAATAACCAATGTTTACGTATTTACGTCTTTTTTTGTGCTTCATTTTCAGATATCGCTTTTTCGGCTGTTCACGTGACTGTTCACGACATTGCCCATTTATTTATTTATGTATAGAAATACATTTGCTGAGTTTGTTTCTCAATTTGATACCTGTATTGATGCTCAGTTTATTTTTTATAGTTAACGCTTCTAGTATTCGTAATATTTTGGGGAAATAACGTGCTATTGTTGGGGATTTGTCGGATTTCTTGTAATTTTCTCTTGTATTGATTGGTGATATGGAATTATATATGGTGAACTCTCTCGTCGTATTCGATGTATGAGGATCAAGCAGCTTCATTCCTAGGAACCAACAGTCCAAACACCAGCA